GTTTTAACTTTATATCCTGAAACTGCTGAATTCATTAGTTCTGGTAGTTTTTGGTGGATTTTTGTTGTTGTTGTTTACAAATTTAGGACTTTCTACATATGAGGTGTGTTGGGATTTTTATCACAATTGTACTGAAATTATGTAGATTAGTCTGGGGAAAAGGAACATCTAATGTTGAACTGTCTCATCTATTAATATGGCTCATTCTTATTATCCCTTTGTTTCTCAAGAACGTATTGTGACTTTTATTATTAAGATATTATACTTATTTTATTGAGTTTATTCCTAGGTACTTCTGATTTTGTTGCTATTATGAACAGTATCTTAATGACAGTGTTATTGAGATATAATTCACACCCCAGGACACTCACCCTTCTGGAGTATCCCGCTCAGTGGTCTTCAGTCTGGTTAGAGCTGTGCAGCCATCAGCACTGTCTAACTCCAGGCCCATTAGAATGATAGTTTTTATTTTATTTATTTATTTAAAAATATTTTATTTATTTATTTGACAGAGATCAAAAGTAGGCAGAGAGAGAGAGGGGGAAGCAGGCTCCCTGCCGAGCAGAGAGCCCGATGCAGGGCTCGATCTCAGGACCCCATGACCATGACCTGAGCCAAAGGCAGAGGCTTAACCCACTGAGCCACCCAGGCGTCCCTAGAACGATAGTTCTTAAAAATTGTATTTTCTAATTGTAAGTGAAAACAATCTATTTTGTTTTTAAAGATTTATTTATTAGGGAGAGAGAGAGAGAGAGAGAACGAGAGTGAGCGCATTAGCAGGGGCGAGGGGTAGAAGGAGAAGCAGACTCCCAGATGAGCAGGGAGCCTGATGTAAGACGTGATCCCAGGACCCTGAGATCATGACCTGAGCCAAAGGCAGTACCAAGCCACCCAGGTGCCCCAAAACACAATCTATTTTTGAATATTTATTTGGTACTACATAAACTTGCTGAACTTTCTAATTAGCTCTTACAGTTTTTCTATGTATGCTTTTGGGTTTTCTGTATAAAAATCACATTATCTGTGAATATGACAGTTTGTTTTCTCCTTTTTAATCTTTATATATTTTATTTCTTTTTCTTTTTTTATTGCCTTGGCTAGGACCTCCGTATGATCTTAAGTAACAATCTTGTATTTTCCCTGCGTTTGAAGAGGGTTGCTCCTAACACATGTTGTTATCAGTTTAAGGGATTTTTCTTTCTAGCCCTAGTTCTTGCCTAATGATATTGAAATTTTTTTGAATAATTTCTCTGAAAAAAATTTTTTTAAAGATTTTATTTATTTGACAGACAGAGATCACAAGTAGGCAGAGGCAGGCAGAGAGAGGGGGAGGCAGGCTCCCCACTGAGCAGAGAGCCCGATGTGGGGCTCGATCCCAGGACCCTGAGATCATGACCTGAGCCGAAGGCAGAGGCTTTAACCCACTGAGCCACCCAGGCGCCCCTCTCTGAAATTTTTGACGTGATAACATGGTTTCTATTTTGATTTTTAATTGGTGGGGTACATTAATAGTTATTCTACCATTGAACTATTCTTATGTTCCTATGACAACTCAGTTGGCCATTATATACTCTTAAAATATGTACTTTTGAGTTTTATTCTAATTTGTAACTTAAGATTTGTGTTCATAATTGAGATATGTATAAAATTTTCTTGTCCTTTTCCAGTTTTGATATCCAGATTATACTAGGGTCATAAAATGAGTTGGGGAGCTTTTCTTGTATTTTTATTCTCCGAAAGAGTTTATATAACATAGAAATTATCTGTTTTTTGGATGTTCATAGAACTCATTTGTACAGTAGTCTGGATCTGATGTTTGCCAGAGGAAACCTGAACCCAAATTCAGTTTTGTAAATGGTTTTGGTAGGCAGAATTCTGAGACAGCCCCCAAGGATCCCATACCTGCCTGTGCTCATCTCCCCTTCAGTGTGGGAAGGGTCACGGATATTATCTCACTTCCATCATTAGTTTCCCAAACAGTTGACTGAGTTAACCGAAAAGAACCAACCTAATTAGGTGATCCTTTTAAAGGGACTGAGCCCTTCGTAAAAAATTAGAGTGTTTAGAGGTGTGAGAGGGACTCTTGAGGGCCAGGTGGCGAGGACCTGAGCGTGGCTGCCAGGAGCTGAGAGCTGATAGCGAGACAGTGGGACTCCGTACCTCCTGCAGACAGCATGAAGGGGCTAGGAAGCATGACTTGCCCTAGATTGGTCTCTGGATGAGGGTACAAACTGGCTGACACCAGGATCTCAGCCTTCTGAGACCCTAAGCGGAGAACCTAGCTGTGGTGTGCCCTGACTTTGACCTACAGGGCTGTGAGCTAACAGCTGGTATTTCAAGTTACTAACTTTGTAGCAAGTCTTTACACAGCAATAGAAAACCAATACAGTCGTTTGCGGTTTGTTCAGGTTTTCTACTTCTTTGGTTATGTTTGAAAAATTGCATTCTGGGGGGGATATATTCCTTTCACCAAAATTTTAACATTGATATAAAATTGTTAATAATATTCTTTGTGATTCTAAAAATATCTCCTATCTGTAGGTATTTCCCCTCTATGTGAATATATTACGGTACACATGTATGGGTATGCAAGTGTCATGTGTTTCTGTACATGTGTGTATCTGTGTACAGGTGTGTTCAGATATGTGCACATTCTCTTTTTCCGGATGATTCTTGCCAGACGCTTGTTCATTTTTTTCAACTTTCAGATTCAGTTTTCTGTTATTTCTCTATTTTCTGATTGAACCATGTCTACGCTTAGCTTTATTATTTCCATTTTTCTCTTTTCTGTAAATTTAGTCTTCTTTCTTTTTCTTTTAAAGATTTTATTTATTTATTTGATAGAGACACAGTGAGAGCAGGAATACAAGCAGGGGGAGTGGGAGGGGGAGAAGCAGGCTCCTCACTGAGCAGGGAGCCCGATGCGGCGCTCGATCCCAGGACCCTGGCATCATGACCTGAGCCGAAGGCAGATGCTTAATAACTGAGCCACCCAGGCGCCCCCTCTTCTGTTCTTTTTTAAGATTCTTGAGACATATCTGTACTTGGTTTATTTATTTTCAGTCTTTAAAAAAATAAAACCATTTAACTTTATGAATTTCCCCTTAAACATCCCTTTCACAGAACCCCACACATTGTAATATGTGGTATTTTTGTTGTTGATGGGTTCTAATTATTTGGTAATTTGTCTTTTTACTTTTTAGTTAATGAGTTATTTAGTTGTGCATTTTGAGGGTTTCTATACATATGAGTTTTCTTTTACAGTGTGTTTTTATATTTGTATTCTCATTTAAATACATTTATTGAATAACAGAAGTGTAATAATGTGTGTTACTAATTCTTTGAAATTTGCTGAGGCTTTTTTGTGATGTAGGTTATGGGTGATTTTCTCTCTTTTTAAAAAGATTTATTTATTTATTCAAGGCAGGGAGGGGCAGGGGAGAGGGAGAGAGAAACTCAAGCAGACTCCTTTTGAACTTGGAACCCGTCACGGGGCTCCATCTCACGACCCTGAGATCAGACCTGAGCTGAAACTGAGAGTCAGACGCCCAAATGACCGCACCACCCAGGCACCTTGGACATGGGCAGTTTTCAAAGATATTCCCATGTACTCAAAAAAGGCTATGTTCTTTATTTGTTAGGAGCAGAGTTTGATAGATAGGTGAGATAGGAAAGATGTAGAAGACTAGAACTCTGTTGTACATCAAGGCTGCTAATTTTTTTTTAAAGACTTATTCATTTGAGAGAGAGAGAGAGAGAGCGCGCACACATGTGTGAGTGGAAGAAGGGGCAGAGGGGGAAAGAAACTCTGAGCAGCCTCCATGCCCAGCACGGAGCCCAACTCGGGGTTCAGTGTCACGACCCTGAGATCATGACCTGAGAAGAAACCAAGAGTCAGACGCTTAGTTGACTGAGCCACCCAGGAGTCCCAAAGCTGCTAATTTTGTTTTAATCTTAGGTAGCCTTACTGAGTTTTGGTATTCAGCCCTTCAGACTGTGAGAGGAGCTTTGCTGGACTTTTTGACTGTGTTGAAATCTGGGGTGATGACTTCTTTTATATCTGAAAAAAAATTTTTAAGAGATTTTATTTATTTGATGAGAGAGAGACAGTGAGGGGGGAACACAGCAGGAGGAGTGGGAGAAGGAAGAGCAGACTCCCTGCTGAGCAGAGAGCCTGATGCGGGGCTCGATCCCAGGACCCTGAGATCATGACTCCAGCCGAAGGCAGAGGCTCACATCTGAGCCCCCCAGGCACCCCTGAAAATACGTTTATTTTGCCCTCACTCTTCATTGACAGTTTAGCTGGATACAAAGTTCTAAGGTGACCAGTACTTTCCGCTGCCTTGGAAGGTATAACTCGATTGCCTTCTGGAACGTATTTTTGCCAAAGTGAAGTTTTTTTTCTTTTCAATTATCCTTTTTTGCTATTAGAAGATATTTTGTCTTTTCTTTTTCTTTCTGGCAACTTTTAAGGCTGTCTTTTTATCCTTGATGTTCTGCCGTTCCTCCCTGTTTCTAGTCGGATGTATTTTCTTTATTCAGTGGGTACTTATAGTGCACTTTTGATTTAAAAAGTCATTTATAGTTCTGTAAATTTCTTATCTGCTACCTCCTCCAATGTTGCTTCTTCACCCTCTGCCCTGTTCTCTTCCGCAGCTCATACCGGATGTGTGCTGAGCATATGATCTGACCTCCGTTTTGCTTAATTTCTCTCTCTTATTCCTTCTTTGGCTTCTTGATGTCTGCAGACGAGTTCTTCAGTACTAGCCTCTGTACTATTTTCCAAATCACTCATGCTCTCAAACTGTGTCTCCAGCCCAGAGTGTGATTTATTATCACTGTTACTGCTGTTTGTTTATTGCCCAAAATGGCTAGTCTTTCAGACACCGACCTGTTTCTGGCTGCATTTGTTTCATAGGTGTCAATTTCGTCAGAACAAAGTTAATCTTCCAGTAGTCAGTTTTGATAGTTGGAAGTCTCTTGTAACATTGGGTTTCTTCATGTGCTCTGGACTTCTGGTTTGAACAGATATTTTCTTGTTGCCTTTCTTTCTTTTTCCACTGAGAGTTTCAGCTCTGTCTCAAATTCTATTCTCGCTGCCATGTATCTCGAGCAGGGGCACAGAGCCTTCTTCACCAAGAGTCCGGGACACATTCTACAAGCAGAACTGCCAGGACTGTTGGTGCATGGTGTGTAGAGTGAGGGGAGAGAGGACTCGGGGAAGCCCTGGTTTTGGCTGAAATAACATCTACGAGGAGTACTCAGAGAGTGGGAACTGGGGAAGAAGCAAGGCTGCAATAGGAATCAAAGCTTAGTCGCCACAGTGTAGCAGCTCTGAACTTTCTAAAGAAGTTCATGTTTCAACACTTTTAAACATTAATGTTTAAAAAATGGTTCTTTAATTATGTAATGCTTGATACACTTTTTGATAGCCAAGTGGAAAGGTTAAAAGAGCAGTTGGATGTATGAGTCCTCAGTTCTAGATTTGTGTTAAAGCTGTGCGATTAGGAGTGGAAAGCATGCTGTGGCATTCAGAGCCAAGGGGTAGATCCTGCTGGGAGAGAGCCCCAGGGCCTCCACCTCCCAAGTCTGGTGCACAAGGCAAAGGTGGCCGTTGAGACCTGGAGGGGCTCCTGGGGAGTTCGAGGGAAATGAGAGAGTTGGCCAAAGGCTGGAGAAGGAACCATTTAGAGCAGGAGACTTGACCACCGGAGTTGGCAAGGTATGGTCTCAAACAGCATTTCAGGGGAGCGGTGTGGGTGGGAGCCTAACAGGGACGGGAAGGTAAGGTCAGACCCAGGACTGACCCTCCGACTGAGCTTTGGTGTGAAGGGAGCAGAGAAATGTGCGGTGCTGAGAGGTGGTTCTCAGATCTTTTGTTTTCTGAAATGGAAGGCATCAGAATATGTTTTTCTGCCAACAGACTGATTATGATGGCTTTCCTGAGTCCCCGAAGCCTCTGTTCCACCTTCCCTGCCCCACACCACTGTTCCCCTGAGAGAAGGGCTTGAAGAGAGTGTGTGTGTGTCTGCTCAGCCCCGGTGTTACCCGTTTCACTCCTCCCCGTGTCTCTTGAGGCTGTTTGCCACGTGGCTGGGGTTGGTATGGGAGCCTGGTTCTGGCTTGGGTTTAGCTGGAGGGCAGATTCAAGGCCAGGCCAGGCCTCAGAGACCAAGGGTCATCTCAGGGTGATTCCTTCGAGACAGAGGGATGGTCACACTGGAAGCAGCTGTTGCTAACATTACTATGGGGACGCCTGAATTCAGTCCCTGACCCTTCCTGCTTGGCAGGTCCCATACCTTGTGCCTGCCCTGTGTTTGGACAGTAGGGGACAGAAGAGACATGGTGTCCCTGTTCTTGGGAGAAAGGATGTGGGGGTGGGGAACGGGTTCTCTTACCTGAGTATGGAAGCCTCTAGTTCCCTCCTTCTCTTTCCTGCCAGGATCCTGGCCACGGCTGGCACTGACTTTGACCTGCGGACCCTGCGGGCTGTGCGTGTGCTCAGGCCCCTGAAGCTGGTGTCTGGGATTCCGAGTGAGTCTGGCAAGAGCCATTAGACCCAAGCCTGCCTGGACTCCTGACCGCCTCCCCCAGCCTCACCACAGCCATGGACACACTTAAGCCCTAACCAGGGACCCCTTTGGCTCTGGTGACTCTAAGCTCAGGGCTCCTGACCCCCGGGAACCAGGTGTGAAGAAGCCTTGAAATTCTCTGTGAAAGCCCAGAGAGTGGCCCAGTTCTTTTGCCCTGACTTGGCTTCCCCAGCTGGAAGCTTAATCTCTTCACATTCTCTGCTCTATTTCTAGCTCTGTTTTGTTTTCTGGGGTTAAGGTATAGATGAGAGATTGAGCAAGCTGGTGGGCTGGTGCCTGAGAAGACAGCCAGAGGCTGCAAGGGACCCCCTGTCTTGCCTTAGGCTCGGCAGGGCCATGGACACCCAAGGCCAGGTTAAGATATGCTCTTGGATTCTGCTGCTCAAGGAGCCGGGCAGGAGGGCCAAGGTTACCGTGGGGTTGGGTTTTTCTCAGAGCCCCGGGCGGGCAGGAACCGAGAGCTGTGTCCCCCTGAGGCCACTACAGGAAAGCCCTCATTCTGCCCCAAGACCCTGCCAGGCGAAGGCTCAGGCCTGTATCTAAAAGCTGGGGCAGGTGGAAAGGGGGTCGTGGGGTTGAGCCTCCCTGTGTGCTGGTTCCTTTGGCCTGGACACACCCGTGCTGGGGGTTAGTGGTCAGACACTCCTGGGGGTGGGTCCCCTGCTTCACTGTCCCCAAGGAACTGTGTCTGTTGGGAACTCCTGTACGCCCCTCCTAGGATCTCCTGCTCTCGGCCTCCCGAATCTTTTGCTTCTGTCTCCCAGCAGCCCCCACCCTTTCTTCTCAGGATTCTCTGCTCACTCCCCATGGAGCCCTTCATAGTCCACATCTCTCCCCCGACTTTGTACTCTGACACCCCGCACCCTGCTTCTCCCCTGCTTTGGGACATTGTTCTGTCCACTTCCTTCCAAGGCTTATGCTTGGTCTCCTACCCCGAGGACTGTCCTGTTTGGTCTCCCACCCCGGGGACTGTCCTGTTTGGTCCCCACCCGAGGACTCCCCTATATGTGCAGGCTGTTCCCCCAAACTCATGGTTCCCTGTACTCCCTGCTCATCCCCTACTTGAACAGTGCCCAGCCCAGCACTGTGCCCCGGCCCCCAGTGCTGCCCAGCCTAGGCTCTGGCTGGTCTGCTCCCCGCCTCCCCCAGCCCCGGCACCACCTCCTCCGCTCTGACCCACCCTCCATGGCTGCTCTGGTCCAGGCTTGCAGGTGGTGCTCAAGTCCATCATGAAGGCCATGGTCCCACTCCTGCAGATCGGGCTGCTTCTCTTCTTTGCCATCCTCATGTTCGCCATCATCGGCCTCGAGTTCTACATGGGCAAATTCCACAAGGCCTGCTTCCCCAACAGCACAGGTGAGGCCTGGCCACGCCCCTCGGACTCGTTCATCCTGGAGGCCCTGCTTGGGAGTCCAGCGGACCGGGGAGCTCCTGTGCCAGTGGGGGACACACACCACCTCCAGGAGGGCACAAACACCTGAGCAGACACAGAAACGCAGTGATCACAGATGATAGTAACTTCTGGGGGAAAACAAAAGGAGAATTGGCAATATAGTAATTGGGGAGCCTGCTTCACGGAAACCAGGGAAACCAGCCCGGGAGGCCTGTCTCCTGAGGTGGCCCTTGAGCAGCCGTCAGAGCAGTGAGAGGGACTGCTGGGTGGCTGCTGGGCCAGAGGGCTCCGGTTCCAGGGCCCGGTGCATGCAGAGGCCAGGGTGAGGTGCCGCGGGAGCAGAGGGGAGTTGCGTGAGCTTCGAGGCTGTGGTGGGAACTCGGACTCTTATTCTGAGAGAGGTCGGGAAGGCAGGGGAGAGCTCTGAGTGAGGCCGCTCCAGGAAGGCAAAGGCAGAAACAGGCTCGGGGAGGCTAATGTCACGATCCAGAGAGATGGCTGAGGCCGGGCTGTTTTGGTGGAGGTGGTCAGAATGTGTGGGGTTCTGGGTGGACTTGCAGGGAGGCAGGTCATGTCACTCAAAGCAGAGAAAGCTCTTACCAAAATTTAAATCATTCATGATTTTTAAAAACTTCTTATCATAGCTGGTGGAAACATGTAGACTCCGCAGGGGCCAGTGCTGTGAGGCCTGGGCGCTGTGACCCCCAGCCACCCTCTGGGTCCCTGCTGGCTGGACTCTGAGCCGACTTGCCTGGTGAGCAGGGACCGCAGTGGCTGACTCCAGCTTGTGGTGGCTCCGGAGTGACAGGCAGATCTGCCAGTCAGGAGTCTTGGGGCGGCTTGACTGTGAAGGAAAGGAGAAATCAGGGTGGTAGTGGTAGGAAGAATTGGATGTTAGGACTTTGTCTTTTTTGATTTTCAGGTGCCTAAGTCCTGAGCATGCCTCAACCGTGAGGGGCAGGTTCTAGCTGAGAGGGAGAGGTAGACCAGTAGTTCCTGGGAGGGTGGGTCTGAGCTCGGGGAGGGCTGGTCTGAGCTCGGGAAGGGCAGGTGTGGGCACGGGGAGAGAGCCGGTGCACGGAGGGATGGTGGGACGTTGAGGGAGGATTCCCACTGGTGCTTGATTCCTGCCCCCCGCCCCTCCCCGTGATGAGGTCTCCGCAACCCAGGAATCCCAGCAGGGGTGGGAGCGCTTGGTGTTTCTGGGCTCAGGGTCTATGCTTCACTCTTCTCTTCGCAGATCCAGATCCAGTGGGCGACTTCCCCTGCGGCAAGGAGGCCCCAGCCCGGCTGTGTGAGGGGGACACAGAATGTCGGGAGTACTGGCCAGGCCCTAACTTCGGCATCACCAACTTCGACAATATCCTGTTCGCCATCTTGACGGTTTTCCAGTGCATCACCATGGAGGGCTGGACCGACATCCTCTACAATGTGAGTTGTGAGTTGTGCCTTGGCCCTGGCGCCGTGGACGGACCCTGGAGCTCCTGCAGCCTCATTTGGGGTGATATTTCTGACCTAGGAGCCTCTGCCCAACCCCAAGCTCCTTCATCCGCCATAGGATGAAATCTAGGCCCCTTCCTTCAGATAGCTCCACCAGCTGCCCACTGTCCACTCACACTCTTGGCCTGGTCCTAGAGTCTCCGGGCCGCTTCTTGTATGAGTGATGCTGAGGGCTGGGCGGACACTTCCAGAGATGCTGCTGCTGATCATTGAGTGGCCATGGTGTGGTCCCTCAGGCCCCCCACAGGCTCGTTGTTAGGCCCCGTGTGAAGTGTCTCCTCCCTGTTAAGTCACAGAATCATCTCGAGAACCCCATTGTACAAGGAGGAAACTGAGGCATGGAGAGCTTGTTGAATTTGCTCCAGTCCCTAGGACTGGTGGCAGCTTGCTAGGAGCTCCTAGCTATGCCATCCCTGGCAGGGTTTTCAGGATGGAGTGAGGGGCAGGGAAGCCTACTGGCCTCTCCCTGTCCTGAGGCTGCCTGGGGAAGACAGGGCAGGGCCGCATGCTGCCCGGAGCTGACGTGCAGGGAGACCTCTCTGATGATGCTGGGGACCTGGGGTGAGAGTGTGTGTCTTGTGCATTCGTGTCTTCTGCTGCATCTCTCTGGCACTGTTTCTTCTTGAACGTCTTGCCCATGAGAGCGCCTAGCCATCACAGTGGTGTATATGGGGCAGTCTGGGTTGGGGCCCGTGACGAAGCTGGTCTAAGGCCCTTGCCTGGTGACCTGTCTCACTCCCGCCTCCCTCCACGTGAAGCTCTTCCTGGCGGACTCTGCCATGAACGCTGGAGCACAATGCTGTTTGCTTTTTCATGTGATGAACCCCTTGCTACCTTGTACCCGCTAAAGCCCCATGAGCCCCCAGGGCATGAGCACGATTAAATTAGGCCCCCAGGGGCTCTAGGAGGTAGAGAAAGAAGGTACACACAAGCTAGGACTCTTGGAAGGTTTGGCCGGCAAGGCACAGCTGGTTGATGGCTGCGTTCTGGATGGCTAGGGTGTGCCCTGCATGGGTACTGTGGGTGGAGGGCCCTGTGATACAACACATTTCACACTGAACCTGCCACTTGTATGCTGATGTGGGGTTTGGACGATAAGCCCCCGAACCTCGTGCTCCCCACCCTCGAGGAGCCTGGGGAGGAAATGACGGTGGTGTAGTCTGGTGGCGTGATGGATGGGAGGAAAGGGACAGAATGGGACCCTTTGCCCTGTGCCTTCTCCGTGGGTTCACAGAGAGCCATTAGGTCTCAGGGCTCGGTATCCAGTAAACGTGTGGTAAATGCTCACTGGGCTGGCACGGGGAAGACGAGGAGTTAAGAGAAGCTGGCCTAATGTTCCTGGAGCCAGATCCCTTCTCGGAGTGCGAGTCGTGTCTCACAACGGGCTCTGTTCAACTGAGGAAAAGAGGAACAGGCACCAAGGCGGTATGAGGGGCTTGGCTGTTCTCTTCCTGCAGCCAATCAAAGAGTAATTTCCCAAAGACAGACCCTAAAAATAGCTCTGAGCTGGCCACATCCCCGCCAGCCCCACCTGAACAACAGAAACCTAGAGCAGGGTTCTGCAGCGTTTGGTGCCCGCTGGGACTTGGCCGTCGGCCCAGGTGACTCAGACTGGTGGGTCTGTGCCCTGTGGGGGAGGGGCTGTGCCCTGTTGGGGAGGGGCTGCACAGGAGCCTGACCCTAGGGCAGGAGGCTGTGGTCCAGAGAGCCACAGAGATTCCTCAGATGGGGGTTTGCCTGGGACCCACTTTCTGGGCACTCCCCGAGATGCTCCTCATACTGTGGCGAGCAGGAGGCCTTCAGTAAAGGCCTGACAATGGCCAGTGCCTTGAAGATGACGAAGGAGGATGAGGAGCCGGGAACTGTGTGAAAGCAAGGCCTGGGGTCTGGAAACCAGATATGCAGGTGCTGTGGAATTGAGCTCTGGAGCTTTGGCGAGGCACCAGGATGCCGTGACAGTGGTGAGCTGTGAGGCTGGTGCCCAGGGCGGGGTCCAGGATCGGGGTCCACTCTGCACACTAACAGGAGGGTTGTTGTTGTAAATCAGCTTTTAAAGGGGGTTCTTTGGAGAGAAAGCGTACCCTCTCTTCCAGCCCAGTGAGTGCAGCTTTTATGGTCCTTTCCGATGTGTCATTGGGCGGGAAGGCCCGAGACCGTGCCTGTGCGTTGAGGGAGAGCCATTGGCCTGCAGCCGTGGGGTGGACGGAGAGAGAGACGGAGAGCATGCTTGTTGCTGGGAACGGGAGAGGAGAGTGTGTGATGCGAGTGCCTCTCGCCGACCAGCTATGGCCCAGGGGTAGGGGTAGCCTGGAGCCCTTTTAAATTCTGACCAGGGGAATGATGAAGTCTCAGCAGAGAATGTCTGTTCAGAACGGACTGCTGACAACCGGCGGAGGTGGGTGGGGGTGTCCCAGACGGGAAGGAGAAGTGGCTGGCCTCATTTTGAAAAGTAAGTGGAGTCAGATGGGTCCTAAGTGAGACGAGTCCGCAGGAAATTGTGTCAGGCCCAGAGAGATGCGATGGTCTCGGGACAGCGCCATGCACGGCAGAGTTCGCCTGTCCCCCCTGCTGTCCCTCCCCTGCTTGGATAGTGGTGGGGTCAGTAGCCCAACAGCATGCCGAGGAAGAAGGAGCAGGGGGAGGCGTGGAGGGGCGAGGAGGGCCCAGCCTCCACCTCCCAGTGCAGGCAGCTGAGAGAGCAGAGGCTCTCGGTGTAAAGCGTGCCGCGTAGTTTGTTGCCAGCTGGGACTAGACTCATAGTTGCTGAATCGATACCATTTTCTCCTTGAAGTGATTGCAGAGCCTTCGGTTACCCAGGAGTTACTGGAAGTCGCAGGACTGACCCCCATTTCTGCCCAGGAGCACGAGTGCGTTCAGACGGGCCGTAGGAGGGAAGCGAGGCTGGTCAGTGAGGGTGCGCAGGGCTCCGGTGTCCGTGGTGGTGGTTGTGTGACGGCTGCCGCCAGGCGTTCTGACGCAGGGGTGCTGGCTGCGTGTCACAGCGGGCGCTGTCGCCGTGCAGTGTGGGGGAAGGAGGACCCCGAGAGGGTGTGACCTCCCCACTGCGAAGGGTGGTGCCTTTCCTTGAGAAGGGAGACTTGGGAGCCAGACCTTTGCTCGGTTTCGTTTCCGTGGGTGGTCGCGGAGCCCAAGGACCGAGCTTTGGCCACAGGCTGTTTCAGAGAGCCATTGCCATGGGGGGGACACGCCAAGTGCATGGCCGGGTGTGTGACGGGGAGCTCAGAGGACACGGCGGGGCTGAGGGGGTCTGTCTGAGGTCAGGGCAGTGCTCAGCATTACGGGAGAGGACGCGACTGTCTCGGCAAGGGGTGTAGAAGGAGAAGCAAAGAAGGCCGAAGACGGCGCGTTCTCGAACACGGCTGCTGGGGTCTCCAACGTTCAGAAGCCAAGTAGGAAGGAAGGGGTGGCCAAGGGGACCAAGGTGGAGCCCCTGGCGTGGGCTGGGAGCACCACCAGGGGCTGGGGAGAAGCAGAGCCAGGAAAACAGTTTTCAGAAAGCCACCAACCAGGTCCGATGCTGCTAACGGGACGAGAGCAGTGTCCGAGGTGGGGGTAAAACCGTGGGACGTGCCGGAGAAGACAGTGTGGGATCAGGATGGCGGCCAGCGTCTGGCTCTGGCCGGGTCCCTCCCAGGGGGCATAGCGGGAGGGACTGGCAGGGGAGACGGGGATTGTTGGAGGTAATTAAGGGTTTACATGCCGTTGTCGGAAGTCTGTGGAGCGGTCCCCTGTGTCCTCTAATGATGCAGGGGGCTTGTACCCCATCCAGAATGCTGAGCCTGACCCAGTGGGGACACAGAAGGTTCCATTCTGGCAGGACCCCCGGTAGCCCTTCCATACCCACACCCCCTTCTCTCTTACCCTTCCCCCACGCCCCTCCAGGAACCACTACTCTGCCATCGCTGTCCTTTCAGGGAGATTAGTAAAGGGAGCTGTATGCACGTTACTTTTTGGGTTGGCCACTTTCACTGACGTGGTTCTTGGGGGATTCGTCAGGATTACTGGGTGTGGCCGACGTCACACCCTGCCCGGCACTCGTGTTACAGGACCTCTGGACCGCTCCCAGTTTGGGGCTATTGAGAACACAGCGATTGTGCACACATGTACACAGGTTTTCTGTGCAAACGTAAGCTGTCATTTCTCTGGGGTAAATGCCTAAGAGAACAGTTTCTGGGTTGTACAGTAGTTGCATGTTTACTTTTTTAAGGAATTAGAAATATCCCAGAGGCCTGGGTTCTTTTACACGCCCACCAGCCGTGCGCAACGTGTCGTGCCCTTGCCAGTGCCTGAGGTTGCCATTGTTTTTACCTTCAGCCGTCTGGTGAGTGTGACTCTGGTGCAGCCCACACCTCTGGGGGCGGACGGTGCTGGTGTCATTCCATGCTCACTCGCTGTTCATGTGTCTTCTTTGTGAAATCTCTCTTCGTACCCTGTGTCCGCAGTCTGGATTGTTATTTTACTGTGGAGTTTTTCTGTCTTCTAGAAACCACTTCTTTGTCAGATACGTGACTTGCAAATATTTTTCCTTAGCCATTAACTTGACTTTTCATAGTCTTCACCGGGTCTTTCACAGAACAAGCATTTTTTTTTTCCCCAGAAAAATCATTTTTTATTTTGATAAAGTCCAGTTTATCTACTTTTCCTTTTGTGCATTGGGCTTTTGGGGTCGAGTCTAAAAACTCTTTGCCTAGTCCTAAATTCTGAAGATTTTCGTCTACTTTTTTTAAACAAATTTTTATTGTTTTACATTTAACATGCATACTGCGATCCATTTTGAGTTAATTTTTGTATGAAGTGTGAAGTTTAGGCTGAGACTCTCCTTCCCATGTCTCCCTCCCGTCTTCCCTTCCGCCCTTACTTGCTGAGCTTATGAATGTCTGGGTCCTCGCGTGCCCTTGTTGAAGGAGCTG